CGCCTGTAATTCCGGCTACTTGGAAGGCTGAGGCGGAAGGATCGCCGGAGCCCAGCAGGTCGAGGCTGCGGTGGCCGGGAGTGGCCGCTGCACTCCATTCTGGGCGACAGAGTGAGACTCCAACTCAAAAAAAAAAAAAAATAGGACCTTCAATTGACTCAACTCTTGTCTTTGTTGTTGACCATGTAAGGAGTCTCACCCATCAGTATGAGTTTCAATATGCCAGAGGGTAGAAATTGTGTAGTGGTGACTTTTCCTTGCTCATATGTTTCAATGATGTGTCTCTTGGAATATATAAAAGAATGTGAGGTCTACTTGGAGCTTTAATGAGCAGTAGTCTTAAAAATTGAAATAAGTAAATAAAAAATAGTTTCAACAAATGTGTCAAAGTTGAATCTGGCCTGAAGCTTCCCTAAACATTAAAAAGGAATATTTTCTAGGGTTAAATGTCTCCTTACTTGAAGTAAATTATGCTTTCTTATAAGTCAGTATTAGAGTCACTGAGCAGGTTGCTTTGCCACAGCCCAGTGGTTTCAACCCAGGTTTGGGTCCCTGATGATAGCTCATTATTTTCATTTTCTTTGCTTAGAAGCTTTTAGACAAGAATAGAGGAAAAGTTCCTTCTTTTTTTTTTTTTTTTTTGAGTTGGAGCTCATGGCCACTCCAGCATCAACTTGCTGGGCTCAGGTGATCCTTCTCCCTTAACCTTCCAAGTAGCCGGAACTATAGGCGTGTGCTACCACACCCAGCTAATTTTTTAAAAATTTTATTGTAGAGATGAGGTCTCGCCAAGTTACCCAGGTTGTTCTCGAACCTGTGGGCTCAAGCAACCCCTTCACCTCGTCCTCTTAAAGTGCTGGGATTACAGGCTTGAGTCACCGTGTCCAGCTGGAAAAATTTCCTTTTAATCTCATCTCTCGCTAGTCACTGGAACCAGGTGCATCTCACTTCATCTACACTATATTGAGACTGGAAAAGATAACAGAGTCTTAAGAAAGTGAAATCACTTGCTCAGAGACACAAATTCAATTAAAGACAAAACCAAGTTTACTCTTACTCCTAAGCAATACTCTTTCCACTATAATAAATAACAATATGATAAACAGATTTTTGTAAATGGAGTTATACTTCTAATGCAATATAGAAGTTGCAATTGAACTTTTCAACAGAGTTTTCCATTAAAAACAGATTTGTGACCCTAACTTATTTTATAATATATTTAGCTAAGCAACAAGACATGTCCCTTTTGTAGTTTGGAGAGAAGAAATGCAAAGGCAGGAGCCACGGGGATGAGGGAGGTGAGAGTCAGAGTGTAGAGCCATGGAAGGCAGATCTGGAAGCATCTATTCAAGTGTCATTTTCCACTTAGAATAGACAGTCTTAGATCCTCTCCATGAGTATGTGCTAACAGCTTCACAGCTCCACAATTCCATTGTTTCAAAACATTGCTCTCAGGCAGCATTGTAATTAGAAATATAAATCTATTTGCAATGGTAATAGATCACAGAAAAAATATGTCATAGCACATAATAACAACAGGATTGTACCACATTCCAGTAAATTAAAAGAACCAATCTATACCAAAAAAAAAAAAACCTTTCTCCTTGACCATTCTTTAATATTCTACATGAAAAATTATATTCTGGAGCACAAGAATTTACTGTGCATTATAAGATATATAAAGTAATTCAATATAAATGTTGATAGTGAATCAGATATAAAACAGTAATAGGAATTATTGAAAAGGAAGTCTTATCCATGTATCTCAGTAAATATTACACTTATTTACAAGAACATATAGGGCAAAATTAGTAACAATGCCAAATAAACATTTATTGAATACTCACTAAATGCTAAGCAGTGTATCTGACATAGGATCACAAAGTGGTTGGCAGACTTATGTGACAATTATTCTGGAATCAACTATTCACCAGCTAATAAAGTAGGATCTATCCACTACATGAGAGTACAAAACAACTTCAAATAATAAATATGCTAATGGTATCGTTGTCCAGAAAGTCAAGTTTCAAATCTTATAATGGCAAAAATGGAAAAGGAAGTAAGTATGCATCATTTCATATTCAAGGAACTTTGGGTGCCTTTCAGCTCTCTGTGCTCCCCCTACTTGCCAGGCTTCTTATGGAGTAAGCTAGAGGAAAGTACAGGCAGATAACAATAAATACTATCCAGCATCAAAACCTATCTTCCTTTGCAATGTGAAATATTGGTCCCCTAGTCACAATATAACTACTTTGACTTAACACCTATAAGATTTTTATTTTTTTAAGTGCATTAAAAAAATAATTTGTGCTTTTGACAGCAGGAAATAAGGTCCCTGCAGTCTTCATTTTCAGTCACTACACAGTATTGTTGGAAACAAATTTCTATGCTACAATGTTATATTCTTAAAAATGATTTTGAGGTTACTTCTAGAGTGAAAGGCATCAAAAAGACCTGATCTTGTGAGACAGAAATCATAGATGGCCCAGTAAACAACACAACTATCTTACAGAAACCTCTCCAGTGCCTTTAAGGATGAAGAGTTGCACAGGGATTACCTTTATTTCCTTTAAAGGAGGGATCAAACTCAATTTAATCAAATCCATTCTTAATAAGAGGAGAAACATCCTGACTGCTCTGCCTCTGATAGGATTACTGGGTTACATTTTCTGACACATAAGATATTTGTTCTTCTATTCACTTAGCCTAGATACCTAGGACTTCCTCCAGAATATTGTCCAGCCTAAGACAACCAGGGAACCTGGAAAATTCCATTTATCTAACAAAGTATGCTAGCTAATAAATAACCCCTGTGTCTTAAGGGCTTTTTTTCTGTCTAGCAATTCAGCTACTTCTCTCTAATGGGGTCAGAGGACAATCAGAAATTCCCTCCCCCTCATTCAGACATGCCTTCTTGTCTCAGTTCCTGTACATTAATAAAGTTAGCAAGTATGTAATTCTACTATGTGCCAGACATTGTTTTGAGTGTTTCATATACATTAATTCATTCAATTCTTATAACCAGCTTGTGAGGCAGATACTCTCAGTGTCTCCATTTTACAGATAAGAAAGCTGAGACATAGAGAGATTAAATAAATCGCCCAAAGTCACACACACAGTAAGTTGTGGAGCTAGGATTCAAGTAAGTTGTGGAGCTAGGATTCAAGTTCAGACAGTTTGATGTCAGAATCTACATTCTTTGACCATACAATTTCTACTATGAATAAACACCTACAGAATAAGTATCTGCTAGGAGAAAATTATGTTCTGGATATTAAATGATGTATGAAATATCCCATCTTCTATTAGTCTCCTTGCTCCAATCTTTCAAAATCTCAGTATCATTTACAGAGAAAAGACAATTCCCAGTCTGCAATCAAGCACTTGTTTCACCTCAGTTTAGCCACAAGTTATTATTTCTCTAACTGCCTCGGGGTATCCTCTCCTGAATAAAGACGTTTCCTATCTCCATCTCTTAAACCAAAATAACTCGGTTCTCACCTTTCCAGGCATGAGTGGGGCAAAGCTGCAAGTCCTTTACACATTTTGGCAAGTGGCTTCGCTCCTCAGCTTTGAGGACAACTTCTTACCAGCAGAACAAGTTTTTGAAAACTTCAAAACTGTCTGGGACTGCTTTGCCCTCTGAGGCATATATAGAGGCTCTTTTCCAACCCTCTGTCTCACTTTAGACCAATCCAGAACCTGAGAGGAAATTGCTGGCTGGAGAGAGCAGCAGTGGGGTGGGGGGGTGATGTGGAGGCGGGAATCCTTCCTCTGCTGCAGGCGCTGCTGTGGCATAGAGCTTTCCCCCGCGTTTGTCATGACACTATTGCTGCTTTGGCCAGGGCAAGGTCCTAAATTGTGCACAGATCACTCATGTTTGAATTTATAATCTCAGGCCAACCACAGGGAGGATGTGGGCTTTTTCTTGTGAAGCAGTGAGCCTTGGGCTGCTTCAGATCTGTCAAAGGCAGATTGGGGTTGAATGGCTGCTTGGAGATCATTTAGCCCAACTTTGTTTCGCAGTGGAGGAAACTGAGATTGAAGGAACTCAGGAAGTGTGTAGGTGAGTGCCTGCACTGTGCCAGGTACTCTGCTGGATGGGAGGAATCCAGAAAAGGAAGAGGCACTCCCTGCTTTTAAGTCCCCAAGACATATTATATCAATACAACATAAGTAAGTGATGCAGACAGACCTGGGATGTTGTGAGCCTTTAAGGGACACCAGGCAAGATTTTCTGGAGCTGAGTGATAGAGGAGACAAGATCACTATTTAAGTAAATCAAAACACATGCAAATAATGGCTATATTCTCTATGAATCCACATGTAATGTGAGAATACTAAAAAACGATCTGGAAGATCACACACCAAAATCTCAATAGATGATTCTATTCTATACATGGTCTTCTGATTATTTTTTCCTTTTTTTTTTTTTTGAGGTGGGGACTCACTCTGTTGCCCAGACTGGCACAATCTGGCACACACCACTATGGCTGGTTAATTTCTTTATTTCATGTAGAGACAAGGTCACACTGTGTTGTTCAGGCTGGTCTCGACCTCCTGAGCTCAAGCAATCCTTCTTCCTTGGACTGCCAAAGTGCTGGGATTACAGGCATGAGCCACCACACCTGGCTATTCTTTACTCTGATAACTAGGTTAGGTAATTCTTTAGACACCACCCCCATCCACCCACTTACTCAGGCTTGTCTTCCCTTCCCTTCAACATTTCCCTGCCTCCTTTCACTCAGGGAGAATTTCCACCAAAATGTACCTGAATTGTGTCTCATTCTATTGGGGGTCTAGAGTGCTGATGAGTTAAGATGTAAATATAAATGCCTAAAAGGTAGGCAAGAATTAAAGCTAAAAATAAGTGGCATTGCATAATCTGTAAGAAAAGTTCTGAATTTGGAAGTAAATTTCATTCTCATGATTATCTATGTTATATGAAATTATTTGGTTTTTTTGTTTGTTTGTTTTGGGTTTTTTTGTTTGTTTGTTTGTTTTTTGAGTTGGAGTCTCACTCTGTCGCCCAGACTGGAGTGCAGTGGCTGCTCCCGGCCACCGCAGCCTCGACCTGCTGGGCTCCGGCGATCCTTCCGCCTCAGCCTTCCGAGTAGCCGGAATTACAGGCATGCGCTACCACGCCCGGCTGAATTTTTGATTTATTGTAGAGATGAGGTCTCGCTGCCCAGGCGGGTCTCGAACCCGCGGGCTCAAGCAATCCACTCACCTCAGCCTCCCAAAGGCACAGGATTACAGGCTGAGCCACCGAGCCCAGCTGAAATTATTTGTTTCAACAACCTCCCTATGCACCCTTTTTTCAAACTGTGGATCAAGGACTTTTATTGGTTTTTAAAGTCAATTCAGAATGTTATGACCTGAAGTTTTAAATAAATAGGATAAACAAATATCCAAGTGCACTGCATATAGAAAATTAAATACTGTTCTCTGAAATGTTTGCTTTCATTATCAATATGTTTGCATGCATAGGGCCATTAGGTAAACTGAATTTCTTACTATGGGTCATAGTCAAAAATTTTTAAAGTAATAGCTTTATACTATACATACCATACATAAAGATGAATATCATATATATACTTAAAAAAATTTTAATTTTAAAGACATGGGGTACAATTCAGGGTTAGGTATACAAATGTTCACTATACAGGTACAAGCATCTTTTTCATAGAGCGATTTAAGTTCCTCCAGGTATATTTCTAGTAGGGGGATTGCGGGGTCGTATGGAAGGTCGATTTTTAGATCTTTTAGAAATTGCCAAACTGTTTTCCACAGAGGCTATACTAGTTTACACTCCCACCAATAGTTTAGAAGTGTTCCCTTTTCCCTGCATCCTCTCCAGCATCTATTGTTTTTTCAGTTATTGATGATGGTCATCCTGACTGGAATTAGGTATAAAGTATCTCAGTGTGGTTTTAATTTGCATTTCTTTGATGACTAGTGAGGCTGAGTACTTTTTCATGTATCTGTTGGCTGCTCGTATGTCTGCTTTTGAGAAGTATCTATTCATATCTTTTGCCCAGTTTGTAATGGGGCTATTTGTTTTATTAAGATGTCCATCCTACACAAGGCACCTACAGATTTAATGCAATACCCATTAAATTACCAGCAGCATTCTTCTCAGACCTGGAAATGACAATACAGGAATTCATATGGAAACATAAACAACCATGAATAAACAAAACAATCCTCAGCAAAACAACAAAACAAAACATAACAAAAAAAGCAGAATGTATCATACTCCCAAACTTTAAGCTTTATTATAAAGCTGCAATAATCAAAAACAGTCTGATATTGGTACAAGAACAGGTATATAGACCAATGGAACAAGATAGAAATTCCAGAAGCAAAACCTCAATTTCTCAATTAATTCATCTTTGACAAAGCCTCTACCATCAACCACTGGGAAGAAGAGAACCTACTCAGTAAGTGGTGCTGGGAAAACTGACCACATGTGGAAGATTAAAACAAGACCCCTACCTATCACCATATACAAAAATCAACTCTAAATGGATCGAAGACCTAAACATAAAACCTCAAACTATAAAAACCTTAGAAAATGCAGGAGACATCCTTATGGAAACTGGAACTGGCAACCAATTCCTGATCAAAACTATAAGAGTTAAGATAGACAAGTGGGACTTCATCAAACTGACAAGCTTCTGCAAAGTCAGAGAAACCATCAAGAGAGTGGGGAGACAGCCCATAGACTGGGAAAAAATATTTGCCAATTTTATATCTGACAAAGACCTAACATCTAGGATCTACAAGGAACTCAAATGTGCCAAAAAGAAGAATACACATTTTTTTTTTAAAGCAAGAAACCCTGTCATATTCAGCTTCATACCTCCAGTGCTACACACAGTACCAGGCACATAAACATCTACAAATATTGCTTGAACTAAACACCGTTGTCAAAGTTCTGTCGTTTATGGGCTGAGTAAAGATTATAAACATCAATTAGTCATTTTTTTAAGCAATGTAGACACGGAGGTTAATAAAGGGAATATAAAACTAGCTAAAGAGACTCCTTGTGACAAGAACCTAAGTCACTGTTTGATACCTAAGGGGCCTTGAGGAGATAATAATATTGGAGGGCACACACACACACACACACACACACACACACACACTGAACGTAGAGCAAAGGAAGCTGATGTCCTGGCCAGGACTAAAAATCAAAGCAGGTTTCTGACTGTCCCAAAAGAGTTTGTGTGATTAACTTTCAAGAATCAAAATTATCTAAATTTTACTAAAAGATGGACTAGACTCCAAAATTCAATAGAAATAAATACTAAATTCAGCATATACTTGTTCTTACAACCTTCATAGGGATGGATGGTCAGAAAGCATGCACAAAGAGCATTCTGTAGGAGCAGAAAGCAAGGGATGACTGCCAGGGGCGAGGGGCATGAGGACTTGAGGAGCTGCTGCTCAATGTGCATAAAGTTTCAGTTGTGCAAAGATGAAACATTTTAGAGATCTGCTGTACAATACTGTGCCTACAGTTAATAGTACTGTACTGTATCGTACACTTAAAAAATTAATAAGAGGGCCGAGCATGGTGGCTCACCTGTAATTCCAGCACTTTGGGAAGTTAAGGCAGGAGGATTGCTTGAACCAAGGAGTTTGAGACTAGCCTGGACAACATAGTAATACCTATCTCTACAAAAAATAAAAAATTAGCCAGATGTGGTGGCATGTGCCTGTAGTCCCAGCTACTTGGGAGGCTGAGGTGGAAGGATTGCCAGAGTCCAGCAGATCAAGGCTGTGGTGAGCTATGATAATACTTCACTCCAGCCTGGGCAGCAGAGTATGACTCTGATTCAAAAAAGAAAAAAAAATTGCTAAGAAGATAGATGTCATATTGTGTGGTTTTTTTGTTTTGTTTTGTTTTTGTCTTTTTGGCTACAGTTGGGAAAAATAACAAACAACAAAGAGAGAGAGAGCACATTCATGTAAAATAAATGTGAAGTCTTTCAAAATAAATTGAATGGTTTTTAGATACGTTCCCTTCTGAGAATTTCTAAAAAATGATAGTAAATCTATGAAAAAGTTAAAAAGTCTGGTAATGTGACACCACCTGCTTTGTTTTTTTTTTTAACTGAGGATTGTTCTGGCTATTCTTGGTCATTTGTGTTTCCATATGAATTCCTGTGTTGTTTTTTCTAGGTCTGAGAAGAATGTTGCTGGTAATTTGATGGATATTGCATTAAATCTGTAGATTGCCTTAGGTAGGATGAACATCTTCACAATGTTGATTCTTCCAACCCATGAGTATGGGATATTTTTCCACTTGTTTGTGTCATCTTTGAATTTTTTGAGCAGTGTTTTGTAGTTTTCATTGCGAAAGTCTTTCACATTTCTGGTTAGGAAGATGCCAAGGTATTTTATTTTTTTGTGGCTATTGTGAATGGAATTATGCTTTTTATTTGGGTTTCTGTTTGTTTATTATTGGTGTAAAGAAAAGTGATTGTCTTTTGCACATTTATTTTGTATCCTGAGACTTTGCCAAAGTCCTTTATCAGTGTAAGGAGGTTTTTGACAGATTCTCTTGGGTTTTCTTTTTTTTTTCTTTTTTTTAGTAATCCTGCTTTATAGTTGATATTCAAAATCAAAACACATCAGGTTTAGCTTTAAACCATTTTGTTGCCTTTAATATTCATGTCAACAAGTAACAAAAGTCAGTTACATAAGTATGAATGGTGAATTACAACACTCAGTTTTACTGAAAAATTTTAAACTCAATGAAAAAGGTGGTAAGCAAACTGCATTTTATGTATAGGAATACTGACAGCATAGATTAACAA